CTGCCCCTATGTCTTCAAGATTTCCACTTACTTTCTCTTCTAGGAGATTCAGTATTTCTGTTTTAATATTGTATCTTTGATCCACTTTGACTTTAATTTAGTACATGTTGATAGACATGGGTGTAAATTTAGTCTTCAGCATGTGGAGAGTCAGCTCTTCCAACACTATTTATTAAAGAGGCTATCTTTCTTCCAGTGAACATGTTTGGCCCCATTGTCAAGGATAAGGTAGCTGAGTGTGTCTGTGGTTGTAGTGCCATTTTCAAGTCTATTGCATTGGTCTTCAGATCTGTTATTTTGCCAGTAACATGCTGATTTTATCACAGTAGCTTTGTAGTATAATTTCAAGTCAGGGATTGTGATGCCTCCTGTGTTGCCTTTTTGCCAGTATTGCTTTTGCTATTCTGAGTCACTTCTGGTTCCAGAAGAATTTGAAGAATGTTTTCTATAGATCTGTGAGGTATACTAAAGGTAATTTCATTGTGATTGCATTGAATGTGTATAACAGTTTTGGGAGTATGGCCATTTTCACAATGTTGTTTCTTCCTATCCATGAGCAAGTAATATTTTTCTATTTTCTGAAACCTTCTTCATTCTCCTTTTTCAGAATTCTGTAATTTTTACTGTATGGATCTGTTATTTTCTTTGTTATATTGTTTCCTATGTATTTCAGGTTTTTTGGATGCTATTGTGAAATATGTACTTTCCTTAAATTCTCTCTCAGAGTGTTTGTTGTTTGTGGACAGGAATGTAATTGAATTTTGAGTGTTGACTTTGTAGCCAGCTACACTACTGTATTTGCTTATTAATTCTGGGACTCTTTTGGTGGAGTTTTTGGGGTCTCCCATGTAGAGTATCATGTCATCTGTGAATAATGTTAATTTCACTTCTTCCTTTCCTATCTTTATTCCTTTTATTTCTCTCTCCTTTCTAATTGCTCTGAGTTTTTGTTTTGATTTGTGTTGCTTTTGGGTTTTTTTGTTTTATACCTTTATATCTATTTGTCTTCTTTGTCACTTTCCTCAACTATTTATCTTGATTTTATGATTTTTCATGTCAGTTTGCATTGTCTTTAATCTTTCTGGTCTAGTTTGATAATCTTTTGCTTTGACCTTCACTCGTTAACTCTTACCATATTCTCTAGTTTGCCAAATCTTTCATGATCATCCTTTGTCCTCCAGTCTTGCTTCTACTGTATTTCTCTTCAGATATCACTCAGTTTTGTCACCTATCCCTCTTAAATTTCCCTTCACCAGAGGATAAATTCACTGTACCATGAGGGAACTCACTGAACAGAAGTTCCTGGTTTATGCTGGATGTTTTTATGTAATGATAGATCTTGCTTCTGTGGTGAGAGATACCAAATTAGTAGTTACCTCAGATCATCAGTTTCTAAGCTGTTCTTGATGGTATATTATTGGTAAATGTACTGAATTATCCAGGATGTCATACCAGGTGCAGCCAGTTGTTCTCCCTTGTATGACAACATTGTGATTGCATGGGATCATAGTTATCATCATACTTCAGTGCAAAAGCATGGGATAGCAACATTCCTTGCTTAATAAATTGGAAAGGTATAATCTTTTACAGACATAAATACCAAGAAACACCTACAACTAGAAGATATCTCTGCAAAACAAACATTTTCTGGGAAACCTTGACACTAGTGATAAAGCTATCTGCTATATGCTATATAGAAGCATCAATACAGAAAACAAAGTGAAACTTAAAAATCCTAAATGACAAGATGCAGAAGGAAAGTGGAACGCTAGACCTGCAGCCCACCCAGCCAAGTCCAGCAGACAATGCCAAAGGGGAAGTCAGAAGAAGCCCTCAAATTTTCTGAAATAATAGCAGCAAAATTAAAAAAGGAATGAAGCTATAGAGAAAATAATAGCTCAGGGAAAAAAAGATGATCAAAGGGAAGGACTTGCTCAATATATTTAGTGTTAGACACAGTTTGTGAAAACAAAGGCACTTAGGAAAATGATAGAAAATATGAATGCCCCACATGGAAAAGGAATGGAATCCATGAAACAGTTTCAAACAGATATATGGGAGGGGAAAAATTCCAATGAATGTATTCACATTTGATTGAATGAAAGTGAGGATAGAATATCAGATTGAGAACACAGGATTGTGGTTAGTGGATATGAAAAGAAAGATGTTTCAAAAATAGCAAGGCACCCCCCAAAATAAATCTAATACCTGTAAAATGATGTAAAGAACACCAAAAGATTGATCAGAGTCAATAAGATAGAGATAGCATACATACCATTAAAAATCTGTTCACAAAAGTAAAGGCAGAAAACTTCCCAAACATGGAAAAAAGAAATCCACCTACAATTATGTGAGGCATATAGAACTCCAATTAGTCATGACAAAGATAAATCTAGACCAAGGCAAATAATAACGATGATTCCAGAAATCCAACACAAAACATAATATTAAAAGCTGTTAGAGAAACAGAAGAAATCACATAGAAAAGAAGGTCCATCTGAATCACAGCCGACTTCTCATCACACTCAAGTCAGTGAAAGCATGGAGTGAAATAGCACAGGCCCTGAAAAAAGACAAACTCCAACCCTGATTAATGTCCCCTGAAAAACTGTCTTTCACAATCAGAGGAGAAATAAGATACTTCCATGACAAAGAACAGTTGAAGAAATTCATGAAAACCAAACCAGCTTTACAAAAGGTTCGGTAAAACTTCAAGCAGGAGGATCACAAGTTAGAGCCCAACATGGGCAACTAAGATTTCCATGACTCTGTCTCAAAGAAGGGCATTGCATATTGATAAAGGGAACAATTTATCAAGAAG